CACACACACACACACACTTACTTTCTAAATAAGCTATATTTTCCATTCTAAAAAAAAAGATTTTAACAACTGGTGTGACTCCATGTCACCTGTGGATGCGTGGATGAATAGACGGATGGATGAGCAGGAAGATAAAAGGATAGGAGGATGGATGAACGGATGGATGGAAGCACAACGGATGGATGGATGGCAGACAGATGGTTGAGAGGAAATGGAAGAGGGATGGACGGACGGAAAGGGGAGGGATGTGTCGGCAGAAGGACAAAGGATGAGAAGGAAGACAGGAGGATGGATGGGTGGAAAGGCAGGAGGATGCATGAACAAGAGAAAGGCAGGGGGATGGAGGGGCATTGCACCAAGTTGGGGTGGTGGCAGAGAAGAGCCATTGGCGGCCTGGCTCTCAGCTCTGGACACCCACAGGCAGCTTCCTGGTCCCCTACATCATCATGCTCATCGTGGAGGGAATGCCGCTCCTGTATCTGGAACTGGCGGTGGGGCAGCGCATGCGGCAGGGCAGCATCGGCGCCTGGAGAGCCATCAGCCCCTACCTCAGCGGTGTCGGTACGTCCAGTCCTCGCCCACCCAGAGACCCCCATACCATATCCTGGGCAGCATGGGGCGGGGGGAGGTGGGAGTGCATCAGCAGAGCTGCTGGACCAAGGCACAAGCACCAGGCCCAAGAGAGATCCCTCGCCTGGGGTGAACAAATGACCCAGGCAGGGTGCTATAGAAGGAGGACTGAGAGGAGCTGGGTTCCTGACCCAGGGCAGTGAGGTGGGGAGGAGGCACGCCCCCTGGAAACTGATGCCACGTGACTTCTCTTCTCTGGACCTCAGCTTGGCCATGGGTAAGGGGGAAATGGCAGCAACTCCAAGTCCTAGCTGCCAGCCACTCTGGGGACTCGCATAACGGCTCCCTGCTGATGCCCGGCTGTCTCTTTAGTGGGCAGTTACTCTGTGCCAGGTGCAGCCTATGCGACCTAGGCACGTGAGCTCATTTAATCTTCATCATTCCACTGGGGGGCTGTGGGGTGACGGACATCTCCCCGCACGGAAGCAGGGGCACACATGGAGAGTGGGAGGAGCGCTGCTTCAGACCACGCCTCGCCTGAGTGTCCTCGAGCCCGTGTCCCAGCACCTCTGGGACATCATACCCCACCCTGCACAGCCCTCACAGCCCAGGGCTGCCTGTCCAAGCAGGAGGAACTCTGACGGCAGTGGCCGCAGTCTGTGCTGCTCAACACCCCTGGCTCCCCAAAAGGAAGGCAGGCAGGAAAGCGGAGTGACCACATTTCGGGAACAAGGAGGTATAAGCTTGTACGTGACCTAGTCTCAGATGTCCAGTGGCCTCACAAATCATCTCCAAACCCAAACTGCCTCCTCATCTTGAATGGCTATTAACTTTTAACATGGAGGTGTATGGTTTTACAATCTGCCTGAGTAAGTAATCACAGAAGACTTCTCAGAGGCAGCATTTGCTGCTGCATAGGAAAGACACCAGATGTCTGTGTCAATGGGGGCAGAGGGGACTCTAGTAAATGTTTAACAACCAGCTCTGCCAGGCATGGTGGTTCACACCTATAATCCCAGCACTTTGGGAGACAGAGGTGAGAGGATTGCCTGAGTCCAGGGGTTCGAGACCAGCCTGGGCAACTTGCCGAGACCTTGTCTCTGCAATAAATCAAAAAATTAGCCAGGTGTGGTAGCACGTGCCTGTAGTTCCACCTACTTGGGAGGCTAAGGCAGAAGGATCACTTGAGCCCGGTGGGTCAAGGCTGCAGTGGCCGTGAGTGTGCCACTGCACTCCAGCCGGGGTGACAGAGTGAGACTCCCACTCTAAAACAACCAACAAAAAAGTGTAAAACAAACAAACAAAAAACAACTCTGGGAGTAGGGTGGGGTGGGCAGGAGAAGCCCTGGTTTGTAGGACTTACTGACTGACACCTGTGGGATAGATACTCCGGTATGGCCAATTTCAAACTACTAATGGGGGCATCTCAGTACATGGGGCTGGGGGGAGGGGACACTGGCTCTCAAGGGCTGGAGAGGGCCAGCTCCAGACCTGGTTGCCAACCCTCTCTTTGCTCCCAGGCCTTACCCTGAATTTCATGCAGGCCGGACCAGACTGGGGACAGCCCCCTTCCCCTCCACCCCTCACACACCTCCTCAGACTGCCTGCAGGCTGTTTGTTTGCCTCAGGCAAGGGCCACCACAGGGCAGCATTTGACCCGAGTGACTTGAGTGCAGGTGAGCCAAGGAGGCTGTGTGAGGGTGGCACTTGGCAGTGACAAAGTACTTCTCACACGAGGTGTGAGTCCTAGCTCTGCTACTTACTAGCTGGGGGATGTTGGACAAGCTGTGAGCCACAGTTTTCTTCCCTCTGAAAGGGGATAATACTGTGAGGCCCAAAGGTACATAAAGTACTCACCTAGCACAGTACTTGGGGCTTATATCTCAAAAAAAATGTCCCAGAATATGAGGAGAGGGTGGGGAGAAAAAAATAGCCCACGGGAAGTGCTCATGGGTACCTGGTCTCATCTGATATTCACACACACCTGGGGGAGGGAGGTCTGGCTGGCCCCAGGGCGGTCACTGCAGGCGTGTCCTGGGAGTGCAACTGTGGGGCCCCTGCCAAGAGGCCACCCTCAGCGTGCATGCCCTCTACTTCCTTGTAGGGGTCGCTAGTGTGGTGGTCTCCTTCTTCCTCTCCATGTACTACAACGTCATCAACGCCTGGGCCTTCTGGTACCTCTTCCACTCCTTCCAGGTGAGCAAGAGGAAGAAAGGGAGAGCCGAGCAGGGCCACCCACCTGGGGGAGAGGGGTGGAGGCAGAATGTGACAGATATGGGGGTCAGGGAGCCCCAAGGGAAGTTGGTGAGTGGTGGGGGAGGGAGCTGGGAAGTGTGGGGTCTGAGGCTTCAGGGCTTCCGAGCCTGGGTTGCACAGGCCCAAGCTGTAAGAAGCCAGAGTGTGTGGGTGTGAGTGGTGTGAGTGTGTGTGTACATGTGTGCACGTTTCTGGGGAATCCATGGCTCTCACTGGATTCTCTCTGAAGGATGTGGCCCCCAAATATTAAGGCCCTCCTGCATAGTGGGCACAGGAGGAAGTCTGGGAGAGGACTGATGGGAAGGGATTCCTCCACCCCAGCAAGACAGTAAGGACTATCCTCCTCCTCTCCTCTCTCCTGCCCTACCCTGCCCCCCCCCCTCCCCTGCCAAGCATGGTCACTTGTCCTTCCAGGTTTCTGACTCCAGGCTGAGCCTCTCCTTTTCCCTGCAGACCCAAAGTCATCCGTTGTCATTCTGTAGTACATAGGGGCCATTCCCAGAGATAAACATTCTAAGCTCTGTGTTCTGATCATCACCATAGCTGACACTCGTAGGATATGTGGAAGGGACTGGGAATTGTGGAGAAGAAAGAGAGAGCCTCAATTCCATACTGAGAGCTGGTGTTGTATCCAAGACAAGAGGAATTTTCCTCTCCCCTACCCAGTTCATTTCTTTCCCTGGCGCCTGCATTTTCACTCTGGGGACCCCACCCCAGAGTCACCACCCCCACCTACCTTCCAGGAACCACCTCCATCTTCTCCATCTTGACCTCTTCCCAGATGGGAAAAGAAGAGACAGGCACTAACCAGGCTGATGTCTCACCCTTTGCCCCTGAGCCAGACTTTCATGGGATAGAGCTGTCCCTAAAGTCTAAAAGCAAGGTAGGGCTGGCATGGACTATGGACTGATCCCAATTTACCCCTGGGGTGCTTGGGCATAGCCTGGACTCTGGGGCCCTAGGGACTGCTTGGGTGAATGACTAATAATCCTGATTTGGCATCTACACTTGGAAGGTGCTACATCCACACCCCACACTGTGCCCTACCCAAGTTGCCCTGTTGCTCCCATCCCTAGCAGGAGGGACTCTGTTCCCCGAGCTTAGCTTCGTGGAACTGTTAGTTCCATGAAGACTGACCACAACTCTGCCTCTCCACAGCCTTCTGGGTGGAAACAGGGCAGCTTCTCTTACTCTAAAGTCTGGGGACCGTTTCTCCTCCGTGCAGGGCTGCCATGTGTGGTTGGGCAGGTTGTACACTGCAAACAGCACCCCCAAGTAAGGGCTTGCCATACACATTGTAAGCATTATAGGTTTGTAACTCTATTAAATAGACAGGTTTCCAAAGATGGAAGCAGCATGTCTTGTCCCAAGAAAATAAGAATAATTTGACCATCTCCCAAAGGTGAAAATAAAGTGCCTCAAGAAAGGGGCACCTTTTTCTAATCCTCAGAAGTGTGGGGGCCAGTGATTCCTGAACATCATGTATTCCATCCTTCATAGGTTCATGGACTTCCCCTTAGCACCTCTGCTTCGAAGCCCTCCTCCCTGGGCACATAATAGTGGTAGCAACAGTAGCTGCAGACATTCACTTCATTTGCTCTGGGCCAGGCATAGGCCCCAGCACTGTAGAAGTGTTTGCTCGTGTGATCATCACAACCAGCCCATGAGGCTGGCTGCATTGATCACTCGAGCCAGGGGGGAGTCACGTAGCACATACCAGGTGGGACCGGGCACAGGCATGTGCACCCAGTCTCTGGCTAGTCCTCTCAGTCTTGTGACCCTTCCCAGAAGAAGCACCCGGGCTGTAACACATGCAGATGTGGGGATCTCTATTCTCATTGGCTTCCAAGGAGGGAGGGCGGGCTGGGAGCTGACCCATTGGACAAGCTCTTCTATATGCTAAAGCTTCTTCACCCTGGCTGCATACAGGAAGCGCTTTGAAAAGTCTGATGTCCAGGCGCCACCTCAAACAGATAAAATCAGAGTCACTGGGGTTGCAACCTTGGCATCAACCCTCCCGGGGAGGTCCAGTCATGTAGCCGAGGTTAGGAATCAGGCGGCTGGCTGGTGTCAGCAGATAGAGAATGGACCCAGGTCAGTCCCACACAGCCTGTACATGACTCAAGGGGCATTAGATGGGGCAGATTGGAAAGGCTTCAGGTCTATGAGGGCATTCTCACCTGACTGGGACTTGATGCTGGCTACCACCAGGCTCTTGGTTCTTTCCACATGGCCTCTCTCCCCCTGTGCCCCATCATTCGGAAGGCTAGCCCGAATATCTCCACATGACAGCTGACTCCCAAGAGGGCGAAAGGCCAGTTGCAGGGCTCTGGGGTCTGGGCACGGAAGTCACACGCCATCTCTTCACTGCATGTCATTGACCGGTACACATCACAGGGCAGCCCAGACCCACAGGGAAGGGCTGGAGACGCCACCTCTGATGGGGGGGGTGGATATGCACATGGGGAGAGAGAGACTACAGGTGGCCAGCTTTGGACACAATCTGGGTCAAAGTCAGGGAGCAGCTCTCACATTCCAACAAGAGAGGGTGGTCCTGCAGCCAAGGGTCTCACCAGAACGGGCCCCGAGCACCATCCAGGTGTGCAGACCCGGGCTCCAGCTGCCACTGGCAAGAGTGGCCATGACTGGGCCTTGGTTCTGTTTGCTGTAAGATATGGGTTGAGCCCCATGGGGTGGTCAGAGTCACGTCTGTTAAAGGAGCATTTTGCCCAATGAAATTTGAGCTTGTAAAGCCGGGCTCGGTGGCTTAGCCTGTAATCCCGCGCCTTTGGGAGGCTGAGGTGAGTGGATTGCCTGAGCCCGCGGGTTCGAGACCCGCCTGGGCAGCGAGACCTCATCTCTACAATAAATCAAAAAATCAGCTGGGCGTGGTAGCGCATGCCTGTAATTCCGGCTACTCGGAAGGCTGAGGCGGAAGGATCGCCTGAGCCCAGCAGGTCGAGGCTGCGGTGGCCGGGAGCGGCCACTGCACTCCAGTCTGGGTGACAGAGTGAGACTCCAACTCAAAAAAAAAAAAAAAAATTTGAGCTTGTAGGGCCCAGATACATGCAAAACTGACCAATGAACCTGGAGCTGGTCTTTGTGGAGCAGCGTTGAGGTCCTCTACCTCCCAAGTCTGAATTAATCTTTCCTCCCCTCCCTCCCAGCTTAGCACCTCTGTTTAGCCCTAGGCCTTCAGTCATGTTTGTTGTACCTACACATTGAGGCTCCTTTTTTTCATAAGTGACAGAGCCAGTTCAAAGTAGCTTAAGCAGACAAGGGTCTCACTGGCATCACCCTGCAAAGTCCAGGAGTCTAACTGCGTCGGGTATAACTTGACTTGAGCTCAAAGCAAGTTGCCAGCACCAGATTATCTCGAACCTATACAAGCAAGACAACTGTGGGGGGCTGAACCTCATCCCCCGTCAGCTTCCAGACCCAGTGTCTGGTGAGTGAGGGCAGAACCCAAGTCATATTCATCCCAGAACTTGCTGAAATATACAAAGACCACCGGCATGAGCACAAGCAGAGGCTGTTCATTCAGAGCTGGCTGCAATAAGGGAGTCAGCACCACGACTTGCACTTGGCAGAAGCCCCAAGGCAGGCAGGGGGTTGGGGTGGGAGGTGTGTGAAAGCTTGTTCGTGGAAAAACAGGGGCTCTGGGTGTGCCCTGATTGGCAGCTGCTGGCCAGGGACAGCTGTGATCGAGATGATCAGAGGCAGGACCTCCTGTATGATTGGTTGGGGGAGCTTATAGGGCTTCCTCTGGTTGGTCCTGAGTTGGCAAAATATAGGGAATTGCTCAGTTCCCGGCCAAGTCCTGAGCATCCCAGGCCAGACACCGAGTCCCTGGGCTGGTTGCTGCAGAGGCTGTGGGTCAGAGTTCTGTCACAGCTGGTCCTGCCATCGTGTGTTGGTAGTCAGTGTCTGAGACACCCTCCCCCACCGAAGTCAGTTGTTCTCTATAGAATTGCAGTGAGAGTAGAGCCCCCTCCCCGTCCCTCCCTGCCTCACCTGCACCCACTGACAACTCTCCCCCTCCCTGTCTACCTTCAGGGGCTCCAGCCGCCTGCCCTTTGGTGACCAGTGCCCTTCTCATCCAAGGGCCTCCTATCGAGGCCCGTCGTCCCCAGCCTGACCTTTGGCCTCCGTCTTCACCCCCACCCCAGATAATGCTGTGTCCGTCCCACAGGATCCCCTGCCGTGGTCAGTCTGCCCGCTGAACAGCAACCTCACGGGCTACAACGAGGAGTGTGAGAAGGCTTCCTCCACACAGTACTTCTGGTACAGGCAGACCCTCAACATCTCGCCATCCATCCAGGACAACGGGGGTGTGCAGTGGGAGCCAGCGCTGTGCCTCATTCTGGCCTGGCTCGTGGTGTATCTGTGTATCCTGCGAGGCACTGAGTCTACCGGCAAGGTGGGACAGCAAGGCAGGCGGGCAGGGGCTGCGAGGCAGTCGCCTCTGTCTTCAGGTCTGGGCAAGGCCAAGGGAGTGTCTTGTGCAGTCCAGGGGCAGAAGCTGTGCTGGCGCAGAGGGCACGGATGGGGTTGCTGGCACAAGTCACCTACTGGGTGACTCTGAAGATGGCCAGAGGCTGAAGTTGCAACCCTAAATCTCGAAATGAGGACTTCCTCACTAACTAAACAAAAAGAGCATTTATGTACCAGCCAGCCCCAAATTCATACCACCCAAGCAACTAGACAGCAAGTTTTTCCTTTTTTAAGACCTTGAATGCTGCATGTGTCCCCAGGACATCCTAGCCCGTGGCTCTCAAACTTTGCTGTACATTGATATTATCTGGAGAGCTTTAAAAATTCCCGGCCAGGCACAGAGGCTCACACCTATAATCCCAGCACTTTGGGAGGCTGGGGTGGGTGGATCACTTGAGATCAGGAGTTTGAGACTAGTCAGGGCAACACAGTGAGACTTCATCTCTACAAAAAGTAGAAAAATTAGCCAGCCCGGTGGCATGCACTTGTATTCCCAGTTACTCAGGAGGCTGAGGCAGAAAGATCACCTGAACCCAGGAGGTTGAGGCTATGGTCAGCTGTGATCCTGCCACTGCATTCCAGCCTGGGAGACAGACTGGGACTCTGTCTCAAAAAAAAAAAAAAAAATCTCACGCCTCAGTTCTGTCCCTAAACGTTTTACAGTAGCCAGTCTGGGTTGGACCTGAGACTGGGAGTTTTAAAAGTTCGCCAGGAGTTTGAGCTCCTTTGCTCTAAGCTGCTTTCACTGACCCTGGAGAGCTTATGGGCCTGACAGACTCATACCCCTGCTTGGGCTGACCCATCCCTTTGACCCCAGCCTGCTCCATGTAGAAGGTTTTCTTTGAGTGTCCCAGCATCTGCCACTTACCTCAAGCTTCAGCATATGTCTTGTCCCCCAGTGTGCCCCATCTTATGCAGTCGCTCCTTGTCAACCTGCCGTGGCTCAGACACCGACATTGTCTCATTCTAGCGACAGCCCTTCATGATAGATTTCATGACCTCACTTACCCGAGGTTCAGAGAAGTAAAGGGACCTGCTCAAGGGCATAAGCCAGCGAGGGCAGAGTGGGGCAGAGCCCAGCCTTACTCCAAGACTTCCCACCATCGTGGTTTGGTGAGATGCCTCCTGTCTGCTGGCTCCACACCTTGCATGACTTACTCAGTTCCAGCTTTGTCCTGCTTAAAGTCCCGAGTCCACCGAGCCTCACCCTCTATCAGAGTTGGCTTCTCTAGCTCCACCATGTTTTTCTTGGGGCATTAGACCAGATCTACCCATGGTATTCCAGGGTCCAGTGGTAACCCCAGGATCATGCCTGGTAGGACATTTTACTTTGATTTCCAAGGCCCCCTGGTGGCCAGCATCTTAGCCCCCAAAGCACCCAGAGGCTCTTTCCTGAGGGCTTAGAACCTGCAGCCATTCCCCTGATTCCAGCAGAGAACTTGGCCCATATTTTCACGCTCATAAAAAAAGTTTTTGTAATTTATCTTTGCCAAATAATTATGAGCATGCTCCAAAAGATCTGAGGACGATGTCTGCAAACATGGAGATTTAATGAGACTGTCCCTTTTCCAGATCATTCATAAATGTGTTAGATGAGGCTGTATCATGCTATGAAAACTGATTTATTCTATTGTCTATTTCCTCTGCTTCAGACTCTCCTTTTCATGGTAGAAATGCTCCAATAGCTCTAGTCATAATCACTCTGCCATTTCCTGGCCGCCTTTGTTTATTTCTTTCTTTTTATTTAGAGATGGGAGCTCGGTCTGTCTCCCAGGCTGGAGTGCAGTGGCGTGATCACAGCTCACTGCAGCCTTGAACTCCTGGGCTCAAGTGATCCTCACACCTCAGCTTCCCAAAGCGCTGGGTTTACAGGCATGAGCCACCACATCCGTCCTGGACTTCCTTGTTGGCATCTCCTTTCTTTCCTCCCAGAATTTTTGTTGTTGTCAGAGGTGGTTTCTCCCAACAGGTTAGGCTACATCACATGTCCAGCAATCCTACCCATTTGATGGGGAAAAAGAGAGGCCCCTGGGTCAGATTCCAGAGAGTGTCCAGGAAACTTGCTTAGCTGGGGGGAAGGAGGGAAACCAGGAGTTTGCCCAAGTGCCCGCTGTTACAGATTTGGTCACTCTCCCTCCGGTTGTCCCTCGAGTTCCTTCAGGTCACTGACCAGGTGCCATCTTTTCACTTACCCATCTCTATTGTGTACCTGGTTTGTTTTCTTATAACCTTGGGTAGATTTATTACTCTTCTCAAGTTACAATGACCTCAGCTAAGAAGCGATGATAAAAGACACACCACACATTCTGCCTGCCATCCCCAGGCTGAGAGGGCACAGAGTGCCACTCTGGTGACCTTGGAAATTGCGGCGCCACACCTCAGAGGGAAGGGAGGGGCAAGTGTAACTCAAGCCCACCTGGACATGGTTCTCCAGCTCTATTCTCACAGGAGGACCCAAACTTTAAGAAAACTCTTACACAAAATGCAATCCTGCAAAATATTTCTTTGCTTTACATACGAGGCTCTGGCATACACGCAAGCTGATCTACAGGGAAAAAAAATTCCAATCCTGGGTGGGCAAGGTCTCTTTTCTCAGGCTTTGTAAAAGTTAGAATTACCCAGAGGATGACAGGCAACTGCCAAAGCTACCATGAAAAAATGAAGACCAATTTCTCAGACATCAGCAGCTAAGTGGTGCAGCTTGAATACCCCAGACAGGGTGGTGTTGTCCCCCGGGGCATGGGTCTGCCCTGTGGTCTGCACCTCTCCAGGAGGCTGACTCCACCCTCTGGGGCCCACAGGTGGTGTATTTCACTGCGTTGATGCCCTACTGCGTGCTGATCATCTACCTGATCAGGGGCCTCACGCTCCACGGAGCCACCAATGGCCTGATGTACATGTTCACTCCCAAGGTATGGGCTGGAGGGGGAGGACCTTCACGGGGCCCCTCACTCATCCTGCCACCTTCTGAGATGGATAAGAAGAGGGGAAGATGAAGAGTGGGCAAAAGCTGTGCCCAGGGAGGCTGTTGGGAGCCCACCAGGCTGTGGTGAGGGGTGCGGACAACCTGTGGACCCTGGATTCCCTCTATCAGATGGTCTCCACGCCCTGTTAACTCTGGGACATTGTCTTTCTTCCAGCCCCTTCTCCTCACTCTTACCCCCAGCTGACTTGCTGTCCCAGTCTCCCTGCTGACCTGCCTGCCCCCAGCCTTTCTCCAAGCCTCCTTCCAGACCACTGACGAGCTCTTTACCAAGAGTGTTGCTCCAGCCATCTTGCTCACCTGCTACACACTTCCACGCACCCCTTTCCCTGCAGAGTTTTCCACAATCCCTCCCTGATCCGCCATCTCCAGGCGACTCACAGCCAGTGCTCATTGGTCGGGGCACTACTGCCCATGGCGGGGGGCGGGAAAGATCTTCATTTAGCCAATCCAGCCCCTGGAAGCAAAATGACTGCAGCATCTCCCAGAACATCTTATTCCCCTGTTCCAAACACCCCTGATATCACTGCTGGGATTGAAGCCCGACCTAGCTCTCCACAACCAGGTCATGACACTTTCACGCCGAATGCTCAGGCCCATGCAGTGCCTGGCCCACGAATCAGGAGCTCGATGCATTTTGCATTATTCCACCCTACAACACTCCTGTGGTAGGGCACTGTGGAGGCTATGCCGTGAGGAATGCTGTGTGCTTCATAGGCCGCAGCATGGCCTGCCTCTCATGGCTGTGTGCTGAGGGCAGCTGCCTTCCCTTCTCTGAGCCGCCCTCTCTTTGCGGGTCTGGGAGAGTGGGATCCCGCCCCGGATTCATCAGCCCCGGCCCTGCTGGCCTTCCAGATGGAGCAGCTGGCCAACCCCAAGGCCTGGATCAATGCAGCCACCCAGATCTTCTTCTCGCTCGGCCTGGGGTTCGGCAGCCTGATCGCCTTTGCCAGCTACAACGAGCCGTCCAACGACTGCCAGAAGCATGCTATCATCGTGTCCCTCATCAACAGCTCCACCTCCATATTCGCCAGCATCGTGACCTTCTCCATCTATGGCTTCAAGGCCACTTTCAACTATGAAACCTGCTTGAGCAAGTACGCCCGGGTTGTCCTACTGAGGCCCAGGCCTCCCTGGAGTTCTGAGCTGGAGGGGCACCTGGGCAGAGGTGGATGCCACAAAGGCAAGGGCTGGGGCAAAGAGCACTGACTCTGGAGTCCTCAGTCCAGGGTTCAGATTCGGGTCCCCCCACAGCACCAGGAGCTGGGGGGCCCAGGACAGTCAATGTCTTCCTCGCAGGGATAAGGGTGGTATTACGTGTTCAAAGCACTTAGCATCATAGAGTATTCAACCAACAAGCTTTAGTTTCTTCTGTCCCATCTCTGCTACCTCAATAGCAACCAGGAACTTCCTAGCTGAGCCACAGAAACTACAGAATTTACTTTCTGCAGTCCCTTACCCAAAATACAAAAACATCATCTAGAAGGTTCATTGTCCAATTTGGTAGTCACTAGCTACACGTGGCTATTAACAAATTTAAATTTAAATCAATGTAACTTAACTATCATTTAAATAATTTAATTTACATCTTAAAGCATTTACATTTTACTTTTTTTTTTTTGAGTCAGGATCACTCTGTCACCCAGATTGGAGTGCAGTGGCACTATCATGGCTCACTGCAGCCTCCACCTCCTGGACTCAGGCAGTCCTTCTACCTCAGCCTCCCAAAGTGCTGAGATTACAGGCGTGAGCCACGGCACCCAGCCCATTTTACTTTAAATCAGTTCTTCAGTCACATTATCCACTTTCAAATGTTGAGTTGCCACATGTGGCCAGTGGGTACCAAATTGGATAGCACAATTTGGATTGCCATCATCACAGAAAGTTTTCTCAGATTACTCTGATCCAGAGGTTAAAATAGTCTAGCTGTGTGGGTTTTGTTTCTATTGTCATCGCTGTTCATATCTGAGGCCTCTTCAAAGCCATTCAACATCACTCTGTCCTTTAAAAGGATCACCAAACAGCAAGTTCTTTTTTCTCACCTAATCAGAAAAGAAGAGGTTGATGAGAGGCTTTGGTGACAGAGGCCTTTCTGATCAGTGAAGGTTGATCTGATGCTGTGCTCTGCAGGGTGATTCTGCTGCTGACCAATTCTTTTGACCTGGAAGATGGCTTTTTGACAACTAGCAACCTGGAGCAGGTGAAGGACTACTTGGCGTCCTCCTACCCTAGCAAGTACAGCGAGGTGTTGCCACACATTAGAAACTGCAGCTTGGAGTCGGAGCTGGACACGGTAAGGCATGGAACCAGGTTGAGGGCTTGCCTCTCTCCACACTCACAGGGGCCCTGGAGGACTGCTGACCTGGGGAATGTACATGGTCCGCAAAAATCAAGGAAGACTCTAAATTATTTTTCCCTTGACTCTGAGAAGAGGGACTTGACCTCCACTCCCCTCAGGTTCTGCTCAGGAATCCCAGCTATTATAAAGTTCTCTGTGTCATATCATCCTTTTCCTTTTCTCGCTTTAAGCCTTAAAAATACAGGAAAGTACAGAGAGTGATATAACAAATACTCATATATCCACAACTTGGAATGAATACTTGTAAATATTTTGTCATTTGGAGTTCAGATTTTTTTATATAAGAAAAAAATAAAGCTAAAGTCCACTTTGTTACTGGCCCCAAGTTTCCCCTACTCAGCAGAGGCAAGAAACTTCATGTTTACATTTTTATTACCCATTTGTGTGTTCTTAAATAATATCATTGTTTTGTTGTCAGTTTTTAAATGAACATAAAAGAACCTGGAAGTTATTTTTCTTATTCAATGTTTTCATTTCGTTGTATGTTCCTAATACCTGTGGAATCTCATTTATTCATTTTCAGTGCTGCATTGTATTCCATTGCATGAATATACCACAATTTATGTATCCATTCCCATACTAATAGACATTTGGGTTTTTTCAAATTTTTGCTATCAAATTATTCTTATTTATATGTTATAGAATTGCCTCTGCTATGCTGAAACCTTTACTTTTTCACATTAATTTTAGGATCAGTTTGACAAGTTTCATTGAGAAAAAGAAAATCTCCCAAGAACTTTTTATTAGGTTGCATTGATTCTGTAGTGTAATTTAGAGAAGATTAATATCTTTTGAGCTGTGACTTTTGATTCAGGGGCATACTTTCTCTCATTCACTTGGGTCTTTTAAAAAATATTCTTCAACTAATTTTCTCTGTGAATATCTTGGTGCATCTTTTATTAGATACTGTTTTATGGTTTTATTGCTATTGTGAATGATGTCTTTTCTCTCCCATTTCTATCATTGTTTATTTTTGTTACAAAAGAAAGCTAAAGATTTTTGTATGTTGATCTTATATCTAGCAACCTTGATAAATTCTCTTATTAATTCCCATATTTGCCTATAGAGTTGCTTCAGTTTTCTATGTGTCAGTTATCATATACCCATTTTTCATTTTTCTTTTCTTTTTCTTTTTTTTTTTAAGTTGGAATCTCACTCTGTCGCCCAGACTGGAGTGCAGTGGCCGC